TTATGTTGGTATTAGGCTTCTATAACACACTAAATCACATGTATTTCTTCTACACTGTAATCTGTGATAATGTATTTGTAATAAATGTGTACATCTATCCCTGTGGATATCAAACTGGTAGATGTGTTATAAACATGTCTCTTATGTACCACTCACTTGATTTGAAGCCTGCTGGAGATCTGCTGTGAGCAAGCCTTTAACACAAGACACTAATAAATCGTAATTGTACTAAAAACCTTGACTGTCTGATGTCTTTTTTATTTTATGGATATTACATAGGCCTTCACTTAAATGTCTACATACGAGGGACGGCCAATTAGGATACAAATGAAAGACTCGTGAGGAAGGTAGATGGGTGATAAATGAGTTCTCATCCATTTTAACCACAATGATCTATTAGAATCTGGCGTGAGCTGTGTGTTTCTTGGGGTCAAAACACTACCGACATTATGCCATTCAGGGCTAGTCATCTACTAGAACAACATTTCTGTTTTTACTTCCTGACTAGCACTTCCCAATACTTCAACAAGTTGCCCCGGGTCATGATATGCAACGTGCTGACAGGTTCCTGTCCACTAGCCATAGCGGTGCATACAAGAGTGAAAACAAGGTAACTTGTCTGGGCTTTAAAAGTGCTTACCTGCTGCAGGGGAAATAGGATGAAAAAGATCAAAACACACATTACATCAAGTGGGACCTGACTATGGAAATGGAGGGATACAAATATAATCGATGTCTAAATAATTCATGCAATGCTACATCCAAGTGGCCTTGTAAGATGGACAACCAACCTGAGGATGATGAGAACTGGTTTCCTCAGCAGGTGTAATATTGGAAGTGTATCCATTTTCTTTTAATATACTTTCTGTAACTTTGATGAAGGTCTCTACAGTCTACATATCTCATCAAAGGCAATTTAACTCACATTTTTCATGCTTACCTACGATTTGTACATTTGTCTCACCTTCCATATTACAATGTCAAAAGGTATTTAGTAAGATTCATCTGCTAAAAAAAACCCTGAAAGGTCTATACAAATCTATTGAGTGAAAGTGCTAAGAAAGGTTGGGTATGGGTTGGAAAATGTCTAATTGTTAGCTAAGATGTAAGTATTTAAAAGTAAAACACAGACTGAAAAATCCAATCAAATAAATTAGATTAATGTTCTTTTCCCCCCCAGAAAATATACATTTTGCCACCAGTCTAAAACATATATCCCTGAAAACAATTATACCACTACATCTACAAAAAAAAGCAACTGCAGTTACTGATAGTGGCTATTTTTATTGCTGATGTCGTGTTACATATAGAACATTGTATTGTCCTTGATGTGAGTATAATTCTCCAGCATGTACTCAATGTATTTTCCTGGTAAACAATTATAAATGAAGAACGTTTCTAGATTAGAGACGCTGGGTCAGAAGGACAAGATTTAGCCTCATGTCACCTTTTGCAGCGTCTGGATATATCACCCTATACAATCCTGCGTTGACAGACATAGACTCAGGTTCAGTTCACACAGGATAATGTATAATTGTACATTCCTTTCTCCTGAACCACACACTGCAAGTCGTGTGCTATTGGCTAATGTACATAAATAGCAGAATACTATGAAACTCGGTTGGAAATATTTCCCATAAATATGTAGGGTGAGATTTATCAAAGTGTCTCAGACACTTTTCCGTCTAATTTTCTAATTTGTCGCCACTTTTCAAAACAATCCCGTATTTTCTTTATGTTTCTATATGAGCAGGGTCCTCTCAACCTATCGTTCCTGTAAGTTTTCTTGTAATTGTCCTATTTATAGTTAAATCCCCCCTCTTATAATATTGTAAAGCGCTACAGAATCTGTTGGCGCTATATAAATGGCAATAATAATAAGATAATAAGATGTAAGATGGGTATATGTTTAAAAAATGTTTTGCAAGCCTTTTCATTTTTTTAAAAAATATCAAGAATTAAAAAAAAATAACACTGCCACTGCACAAATTATATTTATCAAAAATAATCAAATATTTAACACCTAGTACATTGTGTTGTGCCTGAAAATGGATTATTCTGCATGTGTTTTCATTAATAACATACACAATCACACATGTACACACAGGACACACATATACATGCACATGTTGTACAAACTCACAATTATATCTTTATTTACAGTTAGACCTGAACAATCTGGATCTTTAAATCAAATGTAGATTAAATTCCCAGATTTTACTAGTAACATGACGTAAAGTCATAATTTTATTAAAGACACGGAGGCGAGTATTATGCATAACTCTTTCTTTATTTCCTCAGCAGCAAAGAAAGAGAAATATAAATATTATCAAAACTGAAGAAAAAACTGTATAGGCACAACAGGTAGCCAATCCCAGGATATAGGAAGTAGCTATATAAGTCCTGTGTCTCCCACAATCCCCCTCTTTCTTGCGAACAGAAGACCAGGTAAGATGAACGATGTCCCACTTGATCGAAACAGGGTAACAGGAAACGATGCGATAACTTCAAGCTAAAAAAGATAGAGAAATATGGTAATTTCTTAACTCACAACTGCAGACTTACCAAACATAACCTTGGGGAGTCACAGGCAAAACTGAGTTCTGAAATATAAAATATCAGAATTAGTAAACAGCACAAAAGTACAAAAAAACATACAAAAAGACGTAAAATTAAACTGATATAAAATACAGACCCAATGGAAACATACCTGTAGAGCCACCAAGCATCTCCTATCCCAAATCCACGCCGGGAGGGCGGGAGGGAATAATACTCGCCTCCGTGTCTTTAATAAAATCATGACTTTACGTCATGTTACTAGTAAAATCTGGGAATTTTATTAAAGACACGGAGGCTCATATTATGCAAGTTCAAAGCTGTGCCACCACACGAGATGCGATATGCTCAATTGGTCTGAAGTAGAAGTTTCGGAAGGTCGATTCTCGAGACCAATCCGCCGCTCGCATAATGTCCTCTAGACGACATCCGACTGAAGAAGCTTTCGAGGCCATCGCGCCCCGCACAGAATGAGGCGTAAATACGGAGGTGTCTATACCCGCAGAGGATAACAGCCAACGCACCCAACGTGCCAGAGTAGGAGTCGAAACCGGCCGGTGAGGTGATTTAAAGGATATGAATAGATCATGCAGATCTGCTAGGCGAAGGGGACGTGTAACATCCAGGTAAGCCTTGATGCAGTCCACCGGGCAGAGCGCTGGACAACCTGAAAACCTAGGGTATGTAAACGACTTGGATGCAGACTTAGTCCTCCTGGAAATTTCAAAAGTAACGCCTTCTGGGGTGAATGCAACGGCGTCCCAATCCAGGGCCCGAACGTCAGAGACCCTTCTGCAAGAAATCAAACAGAGTAACATAACCAACTTGGAAGACAATTGCTTGAGAGTCAGCTCCAGGTTAGGGTACCACGATGATAGGAACTGTAGCATCACGTTGACGTCCCAAAAGGCAGAAAAACGAGGTCGAGGAGGACGAGCAAGGCGAATACCTTTGAGAAGGCGACATACAAAGGGATGTTTGCCGACCGGAGAACCGTCCAAACCTTCGTGACCGGCCGAGATAGCCAAGCGGAAAAGGTTGATTGTGCGGTACGCCTTGCCCGAATCAAACTGGAACGTGAGGAACTCCAGAATCAAAGGTAGAGGGGCAGATACGGGATCCATTGCCCGTTCCATGCACCAACCAGACCACGATCTCCATGAGTGTCGGTAAGCTGCCCGCGTACCCGGGGCCCAGGCGTTATCGAGGAGTCGGAGAGTTGACTGCGGAACATCTGGGACAACCCAAGGTCCCCTGAAAGGAACCATGCTATAAGGGGTAACTGATGCCACAACACCAGTTCGTGAGAGTTCCCATCCGGATCCAGAAGGAGATCTTGGAATATCGGAACCAATCGAGGGTAGTCTATGGACAATTCCATCAGGCGAGGGAACCATGGTCGAGACCTCCATAGAGGGGTGATTAACGCCATCCGACAATCGTGGCGGACCAATCTTTCGCCAGAACCGCCAACATTTTGGACTTCGTACCCCCTAGGTGATTTATGTAACGAACTGCCGATACGTTGTCCATTTTGAGGAGAACGCAGCAATTCGCCCTCCCCGGGGCAAGACTGCGGATCGCGAAGGCACCTGCCAGGAGTTCCAAGCAGTTGATGTGCAACGACTTCTCTGTGTCGGACCACCTGCCACCTGTGGAAATGTCGCCACAACGAGCTCCCCAGCCGTGTAAGCTGGCATCGGACTCTATCACCACATCCAGGGCGGAACCGAAGATGGCTCTTCCGTTCCATGCCTCCATGTGCGCCAACCACCACACTAGCTCGTCCCTGGACTCCGCGTCTAGCATTATCCGAGATTCGTAGGAATGACCTGAGCGAAGGTGCGATCCTTTGAGCCGTTGGAGCGCCCGGAAGTGCAGCGGGCCTGGGAAGATCGCTTGAATAGAGGCCGCGAGAAGGCCGATAATCTTCGCCAGCTGTCTGACTGACAAGTCCGGGACACGGAGGGCCCTCCGAATTTCCTTCTGGATGGCTTTCACCTTGGCATCCGGAAGGAACAGAAACTGCCGGATGGAATCCACCTGAAAACCCAGAAACTCTATGGACTGGGCAGGGATCAGGACCGATTTGCTCCAATTGATCAGAAATCCCAATTTCTGCAGAAGGCTGGTCGTCCATCCTAGGTGTGTGAGGAGATCCTCTCGTGACTGGGATAAAATCAGGATATCGTCCAGGTAGATAATGAGGCGAACCCCCCGGGTTCGGAGGAATGCTACTACGGGCTTCATGAGCTTGGTGAAGCACCAAGGGGCCGAGGAGAGACCGAAAGGCAGGCAGGTGAAGCGCCAACGACGCCCGTGCCAGGTGAAGTGGAGATAATCCCTGAACTCCAAAGCGATGGGGACCGTAAAGTAGGCGTCCTTCAGGTCCAGCTTGGCCAACCAGTCTGACTGGCGTAGAAGGTCTCTGAAGCAGTGTATACCTTCCATCTGGAAGTGTTGGTAGCGTAGAAAGGCGTTGAATGGGCGAAGATTTATTATAGGGCGAACCCCGCCCCCTTTCTTGGGCACCAGAAACAAATTGCTCGTAAAGCCTGGGGTGGCGAACGGCAATTCCTCTATAGCGCCCTTGGACAACATCTCCACGACCTCCGTGGAAATCATCTCGTCCTGCTCCGGAGGGAGAGACAGTTCTCTGGGGGAATAAAACTGGATTGGCTACCTGTTGTGCCTATACAGTTTTTTCTTCAGTTTTGATAATATTTATATTTCTCTTTCTTTGCTGCTGAGGAAATAAAGAAAGAGTTATGCATAATATGAGCCTCCGTGTCTTTAATAAAATTACAATCACTAAGAGAATAACTTGAAATACTTTTATTGCAGGCTCTCTTTGTCTTTTGCCATCAATACAAACAAAAACAAAAGCAGCCCCAACCCAAAATCTCTACAGTTTATTTTTATCACTAAAATGTGAATTCACTGTGATTTTGCAATTGTAGACCAAAATAATTGAACTGGAATATCTTTTTAAAGGACCACTATAGTGCCAGAAAAACAAACTCATTTTCTTGGCACTATAGTGCCCAGAGGGTGCCCCCACTGGATTAACCCTAAAGTAAACATAGCAGTTTCTATGAAATTGTTATGTTTACAGCAGGCAGGGTTAATTCTAGATGGACCTGGCACCCAGACCACTTCATTGAGCTGAAGTGGTCTGGGTGCCTATAGTGGTCCTTTAATTGTGATTTTTTTTGTCCTAAATTTCATAATTTACTTTGAATTCCCCAAACTCACATTTAAGGAACACTGAAAGCACCATAAAAACTACAGCGCACTTTAGTGGTTACAGTGCCAGTAGTGTCTTGGCGTTCCCCAGTTGCGTCAGCTGACAGCTCTGAGCATTGTAGGGTTTAGCTCAGGAGTGCTAACAGAAATTCCTGCTTAGGAACTTCTGGCTCTCGGTCATGGCAATGGAAGTGGGGAGTGACGGCCAGCAGACTCCAGGTAAGAAGTCAAACTATTAAAATGGTTTGACTTCTTGCAAAGGAGGGTACTATTAAATGCATAATAACGTGGAAAAATACTTAAATTTATATCAATTATTGGAATGGGAAATTGGAATGTACACTATCTACATAATAAGCAAAAAGATACACATCTAGAACAACACCGTGCCCAAGGACAATAGGTCCCATCATACATGACACATATACAAAGCAGAAATTTTACCTTAATATGGAAATATTTACCTATTGTTCACTTTTAACATGGAATAGTAAATAATGTGATGGAGTTAGAGTGATCAGGAGTTGTACAATGCAAAGGCATTGCTGGAGTTTATGCTTGTAAAATAATTTAACTTTACTCAGAAGTGGTAAAGCTAAAAGCGGAGTTGAAAGGGTATACGTGAGTTTTAGCGAGATTAGTTCTCTTAACATAGCACAATGATGGGTATTGTACAGGGAGTGCAGAATTATTAGGCAAGTTGTATTTTTGAGGATTAATTTTATTATTGAACAACAACCATGTTCTCAATGAACCCAAAAAACTCATTAATATCAAAGCTGAATATTTTTGGAAGTAGTTTTTAGTTTGTTTTTAGTTTTAGCTATGTTAGGGGGATATCTGTGTGTGCAGGTGACTATTACTGTGCATAATTATTAGGCAACTTAACAAAAAACAAATATATACCCATTTCAATTATTTATTATTACCAGTGAAACCAATATAACATCTCAACATTCACAAATATACATTTCTGACATTCAAAACAAAACAAAAACAAATCAGTGACCAATATAGCCACCTTTCTTTGCAAGGACACTCAAAAGCCTGCCATCCATGGATTCTGTCAGTGTTTTGATCTGTTCACCATCAACATTGCGTGCAGCAGCAACCACAGCCTCCCAGACACTGTTCAGAGAGGTGTACTGTTTTCCCTCCTTGTAAATCTCACATTTGATGATGGACCACAGGTTCTCAATGGGGTTCAGATCAGGTGAACAAGGAGGCCATGTCATTAGATTTTCTTCTTTTATACCCTTTCTTGCCAGCCACGCTGTGGAGTACTTGGACGCGTGTGATGGAGCATTGTCCTGCATGAAAATCATGTTTTTCTTGAAGGATGCAGACTTCTTCCTGTACCACTGCTTGAAGAAGGTGTCTTCCAGGAACTGGCAGTAGGACTGGGAGTTGAGCTTGACTCCATCCTCAACCCGAAAAGGCCCCACAAGCTCATCTTTGATGATACCAGCCCAAACCAGTACTCCACCTCCACCTTGCTGGCGTCTGAGTCGGACTGGAGCTCTCTGCCCTTTACCAATCCAGCCACGGGCCCATCCATCTGGCCCATCAAGACTCACTCTCATTTCATCAGTCCATAAAACCTTAGAAAAATCAGTCTTGAGATATTTCTTGGCCCAGTCTTGACGTTTCAGCTTGTGTGTCTTGTTCAGTGGTGGTCGTCTTTCAGCCTTTCTTACCTTGGCCATGTCTCTGAGTATTGCACACCTTGTGCTTTTGGGCACTCCAGTGATGTTGCAGCTCTGAAATATGGCCACACTGGTGGCAAGTGGCATCGTGGCAGCTGCACGCTTGACTTTTCTCAGTTCATGGGCAGTTATTTTGCGCCTTGGTTTTTCCACACGCTTCTTGCGACCCTGTTGACTATTTTGAATGAAACGCTTGATTGTTCGATGATCACGCTTCAGAAGCTTTGCAATTTTAAGAGTGCTGCATCCCTCTGCAAGATATCTCACTATTTTTGACTTTTCTGAGCCTGTCAAGTCCTTCTTTTGACCCATTTTGCCAAAGGAAAGGAAGTTGCCTAATAATTATGCACACCTGATATAGGGTGTTGATGTCATTAGACCACACCCCTTCTCATTACAGAGATGCACATCACCTAATATGCTTAATTGGTAGTAGGCTTTCGAGCCTATACAGCTTGGAGTAAGACACCATGCATAAAGAGGATGATGTGGTCAAAATACTCATTTGCCTAATAATTCTGCACTCCCTGTAATTATAGTGGAGATATAATTGTGGAGATATAGCGTAATAAATTGTAGGTCAAGATGGCAAAGATAAATCTATAGTACAGTGGTAGTTATTCATAGATTAAAGAAACATCGAGATGGAAAGAACAGTAAAACAATAAATGGTAGAATAATAAAAAATAGCTTATTCTGAAATGGATTTGAATGGCAGGAGACTGACATGTATTGGTCAAAATATAATACTCAATAGACAGAGTAGTAGATACTGGAACTGACCTTCCAGTAGATGTGGTACAATTAAAATATTATGGAAATTTGAGAATGAGACAAAAAAACTGAATAAATCTGTTCATTATTTAAAGATGCAATGGGTAAATTGCTTTTCATCTACCATTAGAATGTATGTATCTGTATGTTTCTATGGAAACAACTCACTAATTAGTGAATATTACTCTGTATATAGGTTAATATGCTTCAACTCTGCTAAATCTGAAGAGATTTTCCAAACATGGCTAATTTAGACCACAATTTCCAAATCGGTTGTAAAGTAGTTCCAATTCATATATATAAATATATCAAAAAGACAATCAGGGTTATTTAATAAAATCCAGTTTTAGCTAATTACGTCAGAATGTCAAAATTAAACTAAAGTAGCCAGTCTGGGACTATAGAGATAAACGTCTTCAAAGTACTTTTTTTTGGCCTCAGTTTTGCTGCTTGGATTTAATGCACTAAAGTTCGATGGTTCAGTAAATAACTCTGAATGACTGTATTTCTATAGTGTTTTCTATAGAAGAATTTAAATAAATATTTCCTGTAGACAGATCATATTTTTGGGTCACATTTTCGATGACACTTTTTCAGTTTAAAGAGAGCTATAATAAGATTCCAGGAAACACAATAACTGACCACTGCCAAGTCTTAATTATGTTTTTATGGTTAATTAAAATTCTTTATTTTACATTATTACATTTTTTACTCCCCCCCCCTCCCACCCCCCCTCCAAATGCCAATAACATTGCCTTAAAATTAAAGGAAAGTTTAGGGATCCATCTTTCAACGGAGAATTCTCACAAGAGTATGTCAGTCTTTGCACGCACAGCACTTCTAGAACATTGTGAATAGGTAATATGTTATGTATAAATAGAATATAATAGAAGGGACTCTAGAATGGAATTTATTGGAACTTCTCGTCAAGCTCAGAGTGGGTGGGAAACAATAGCTTCAATTGATACGTTTGTGGTCATTCACTAAACCAGGAATTGAACAGAACTGAGAAGATTGCAAATTCTTGGTCAAAATAGCTCAACTGGAAAAGGAGTTGACTTGGCAAATTTCTCCAATTCCACTATCTTAGCCTAAAACTTGCAATTCTCTTCTAAATTTCCAATTTATTGAATAACCAAATTGAGTTCTGTCTTATAAGTGGGGATATAGTTAAGTGAATGATTTCCTAGATTTTAAGCCAGGCAATATTAATAAACTAAATGATATAATGAGTTGGGCAGTTATTAGAGCACTGGACTTTACCACCATGCCTGGTATTTGCTCTGGCATAGATTTATAAAGGGTTATTTCAAGCATCATAATTATTACAGCCCACTCTAGTGGTTAAGGTGCCAGGAGTACCCTGGTCTGGTTCTGTGGTAATAGGTCACTCCACTTAGGAATGAGTTTCTCTCTTATTTGGGCCCCTGCAGGTTCTGATGACCCTTGTGTCTCAAAAGCTGCAGATGCCAGAAGCCAATTAAGTCACAATTCATTGGCTGGGAGAGTCAGGTGACCTCTCTCAACTAATGAATGGCACACTGTGCATGACAATTTGCAGAGAATTATATTTCCAGATATTGAAGATATTGATATTGATTCCTTAGAGAGAGTTCAGAGAAGGGCTACTAAACTGGTTCATGGATTGCAGGATAAAACTTACCAGGAAAGGTTAAAGGATCTTAACATGTATAGCTTGGAGGAAAGACGGGATATGATAGAAACATTTAAATACATAAAGGGAATCAACACAGTAAAGGAGGAGACCATTTTTAAAAGAAGAAAACTACCACAACAAGAGGACATAGTCTTAAATTAGAGGGACAAAGGTTTAAAAATAATATCAGGAAGTATTACTTTACTGAGAGGGTAGTGGATGCATGGGATAGCCTTCCAGCTGAAGTGGTAGAGGTTAACACAGTAAAGGAGTTTAAGCATGCGTGGCATAGGCATAAGGCCATCCTAACTATAAGGCCAGGGACTAATGAAAGTATTTAGAAAATTGGGCAGACTAGATGGGCCGAATGGTTCTTATCTGCCATCACATTCTATGTTTCTATGTTAATTGTCATTAGCCAGCCCAGAACTTTTGTTCCAGGAGGGATGCTGACACTTTATGATGTTGTCATTGGTGGAGTTGCACCTCGGTCAGCTAAGGGGTTAAACTTGGTTATGTTATGTGCAGCGTTTCATAGCAAAACACTACA